GGTGACTGGCTCCAGCACCCCTGCAGCGGCAGGACCAAGTGGAAGCAGGAAGGCCTGGCCAACGTGGTAGCACCTGGTGAAAGTGGCGGCGGTGACCAGCAGAAGGGAGTCCTTTGGGAAGCAACAGATCTGGGGGAGGGGGCCATGATGCTGGTGAGTGCCCATCACACCCTCCTTCCACGGCCCCCTCCCCAGGGAGGCTGGTAGGAGCTGTATTCCCTGAAGGGCAGCATTGTGCTGCCCAGGGGCCAGAGCAGTAGGAAGATGGGCAGTAGAGGCCACAGGCTAACTAATAGCCATTTCATACATACATGGAGCTATCTCCAGGGCCTTCCAGTCTTTGCAGAGCTGGGATTTCACTGCAAAAAAAACCAGCAATGCTTGTGTTCTGTGAAACTGATTCTAGCCATGGCTGAAGCTTGGGTGAGGGAGAAAGTTCCTTAAGAGCTTGGGGAGCTCTTGATTGGCATTAATGTCAGAGACTAGCTATTTCAAGGTGACTGGATGCTGCCTGTCAAAAAAGTCTGGTTCATGTCTGATTGACGACCAAGCATGGAATGAATCAGAGATTAGGACAGTAGCTCTCAACCCTAGGTAGCTTGAACAAATCTGCCTTCCTGGGTGAAACCTGGGCATAGAGATTTGTTGAAGCTGCTAATGCACAGCCAAAGTAGAGAACCATGGAATTGGGTGTTCAGTTGCACATCTGTGTCAGAGGAATGCCTCTCATGTGTCTATTCAGCCTTGAGTGGAAGTGACATGTCCATACTGGGGTAAGATACAGCTGGAGACAAGAGAGGCTGAATCTTCCCAGATAAACCTAGACTTTTGGAAGGTGGTTAAAATGCAGCCCAACTGCTTCGTATAAGTGCCCTTGTTAGACTTGCTGTGCTGATGCAGAATGCACTTGACCTGCTCAGGCCCTAAGATCTGGGTTGAAGATCCATGAGGTACAATTTTTTTTTTTTTTTTTTTTTTTTTAGGATTTGGGTGAAGATTTACAGAGTAAATTCACTTTTCATACAGCAGTTCACATATACTTTGTCTCATGTCATTGACCAAAATTTACAATGCAGCAGCTTCCCTCCCACTTCCTCCCCATAGTTACCTCCTCCCAGTGTCCATCCCTTCATACTCTTCTGCACCCTGAGCTATCTCCCTGTGCATAAGCAGCCCTTCCTTCTCCCATGATTGTTCTCTCCAGGGCGTGTGTCTACTTGAGGTAAATGTTTAACTCACATGCCTGTACTTTGTTTGGCTGGAAACCACAGTTGTGGGTTCAATTCCAGACCTGAAGGGCAGCTAGGGGCCATAGTCTCAGTGTTACACCAGGCTCTATTGGACCAGCAAACCTGGTCCCCACCTTCTTTTTTTTTTTGGCATGAGGTACAATTTTGTATATTCTAGTAGCATGTGTATCCTGGAAAATTCCTGGATCCCATATGGCTCAGTCTGAGCACAGTTTTGCATTCAAAGAAACACAGTCCATTAACTGAATAGAATAAAAAATAAATTGTAGTCTTACATTTTTCAAAGAATATTAAAGAGGATCCAATTCATAACCTACTGTAGGTAGCACTTTAATTCCTTTTCCCCTTTCCTATAGGGAGCTCTGGTGGCGTAGTGCCTAAGGCATCTGACTTGCTAACCAGAAGGCTGGCGGTTCAAACCCAGCCTTCTGGTTAGCAAGTCAGATGCCTTCTGGTTAGCAAGTCAGATGCCAAAGGAAGGTTGGGCAATCTACTTCCATAGTGATAGCACCTCGGAAACTCGAGGGGTCGCTATGAGTCAGACCTGACTGGGCAGTGGGTTTTCCTTTCCTATAGGTCTTATCACCTCCCATCTCATACTTAACTGAAAGCTTTTCCCTACTTTTCACTGTGTAGCCCTCACACATGTGCTCTTCTCCATTTCCCACTCCCTCTTCCCTCCTGTCCCCTTCCTTTTCCCTGCTAAGCATATCTCAGCCTTTTCCAGTGACAGGCCCTTTCCTGTCTTTTTGGATCTTGGTCTCTACCACTGTCCTTCTCAATCCTCTTGTTCCACCCATCCAGTTACCATGATCTTGGAATAAGGCCCAGGAGTGGGTAGAGAGGGAAAGCTCTCCTGTGCTGGATTCTCTATGTGCTGAATGCTCTTCTGTTAAACCTGGGTCTTTAGAAAATCCTGTTTAAATGTTCTGGCTACTTCCCAGCTGTGTTGCTGGGATTTAGGGAGGGGTGTTGTGAGTTTACAGCTGGCTGGAGTTAAATGGAAGGCATGCCAGTGAGACCAGCCCCATGGTGCAGCCCTACTTTATGGAACCCATCAAGAGCAAGAAGAATCTTGGAGGAAGAAGAGTTAGGGCTGAAAGATCCATCCTTCCTTCCATTGACAAGCTCACTAGAAAGGGTGTATCCTTTTATTAAGGGAGCCCTTTATTAAGGGTTTTCTTACAGAAGGCAGCTTCACTAAGTTCGGGACAAAGGACATTTTCCATGACTATAGAAGGAAAATGGCCTCAGAACAATGGGACACTCTGCCAGCCATCATAGATGATCCTGGTATAGAGATGAGGGAGGTAGCCCAAAGATACAGCTGTGCAGCTCTCTGGGGAGCTCTGTTCTTGGAAGAGCAGATACAAAGGTAAACAGATTGTAACTCTAGACTTGGTTCTAAGGCCTGAAGGAACATGCAAAGATCTGAAGTTCCAAATGGAAGGAGACCACACACCAAGGGGCTTTTGCCGTTATCTTTGGAGCAAAAATAATGGAGAAGGCCCAGAGCACTATGTCAGTGAGTGGCAGAGAGGACCCGGCCAAGGGGACTGGTAAGGGAGCTGGGGCTCCAGGGAGCACAGAGCAAGGAAGCCCAGTCCATCCACTAGCCCAAAGTATGAGGACACCACTGCTTTGTGAATGGGACAGGCGCTGGGAAGCTGCAGACAGAAAACATCTTGATTATTGTAGAGGGAAGAAGATGGAGTCTATGGTCCACCAGCCAATAACTTTGACCATGACTCCTTATAGAAGGCTTCTGAGGGGAAGGAAAAGGAGCAGATGGGAGACAGCAGTGTGGGCTCACTGAGCACTGCATGTACTGTCAGTCTTTGATGGTGTGTCTAAACAGGGCAAAGCATTTGACATGGTCTCCTATAGATCTGTGTGTGGTGGTGGTGGTGGTGGTGGTGGTGGTGATAGGTGCCATCAAGTCGGCTCTAACTAAAAGCAATCTTATGCATAACAATGAAATGTTGCCCAGTCCTGCGCCATTCTTACAATCATTGCTGTTTGAGCCCATTGTTGTAGCCACTGTGTCAATCCATCTTGTTGAGGGTCTCCCTTTTTCCATTGACCCTCTACTTTACCAAGTATGATATCCTTCTCCAGGGACTGGTCCCTCCTGATGCCATGATCAAAGAAAGTAAGACAAAATCTCACCATCCTTGCTTCTAAGGAGCATTCTGGCTGTAGATCCACATGTGAAAAGAAGAGAACCGGCTCTCTGTGGATTTACAGTGAATGTCTGTTTACATCACTGACAGGAAGGAACTTGGATGAGCCTGGGCAGGGCTGTGATATGTAAATAAAATAAAAATCAGACATGGCTTGGCAAATTCAGAACATTTTAATTTACTTGTGGGCAGTAATGACTTTTCTCTGGGCTGAAGTTTTATTGAAAACTTCACCTGGACAGTGGAAGGGCAAGGGGAATATGCTACTGTTCCCAAGACCGGGACATTAGCCAGAGGTCAGAGTTAATGGAGGCCTCAGATACCCCCTGGTGATACCAACTCCTTCAATAAGCCAGAGACAGTTCACAAAGAGGAAAGACTGGCAGTCTGTCCTGGACCCTGTCCCAACAGTGTCACCACCAGCACTGACGCTGGCCACTTTGCTTCCACCCGGTCTCCGGCTAATGTCCACAGGTGGAATTCACAGGATGGTTCTGAGTTGGCCACTAAAGACTGGACACCTGGGCTTGGTGGCTGTGCAGATGATGAGCAACTAACGGTGTTATTAGCAGAGGCTCAGCCTCCCCTGTAGCCCCAAATCCTCGGAGACTCAGAACTGGGGCCCTTCTCCCCTCCCACCCTGAGCCTTTCCAACAGTGTTTCTGCCAGGGCCTTGGGACTGGAGAGTTGGGGCCTTAAAGTGCCCATCTGGGGGAGTCCAGGATTCACAGGCTTCTCTAGGCAGCCCAAATGAATGTGCTGCATGAGGGGAGGGCCCAGGCATCTCTCCAGGCTCTGGGGCTTGGAGACTTCTTTCTCTACTGCTCTCCCACTCCCAGGGATCTGTCTGTCTGCTCAAATGTGAAGTTCAGGGTGCCGAGCAGTCCTCCCTGTCCCCTTGGTGCACAACTTGGGGCCTCTGCTGGCTCAGGAGACAAGAAAAACCAAGCTCCTGGGACCTTCCAGAGAAACAGGTAGGGTTCAAGATTGGCTTCTTCATCCCTGCCCCAAATTCACAGTGTTAAGTCCCCTCAGGAACAGATCCCTCAGGCTCTGCCTGCTGTAGCAGCTGGCCCCAGTCCTGAGCCCTCATGCCCAGCACTGCTCACCCATGCATACACGCACCCATGTATTCTTTCACACACTGGCTCCCACACTCACACCCCCTTGTGCACATGCATGCATGCATGTGTGCACACACTTGCACATGATCATTCATGTTCATCCCCTGAATCATGTTTTCACACACCCACATGGTCACAGTCTCTCATAGTTAACCACTTGCTAATGCACGCACACTGATTCACACAATCATGCCTTTCACACTTCACACCCATTCATGCATGTGCACACATTCTCTGAGCACATATACTCATAACTGCACATACATGTTCTCTTTTCCAATAATATAGCCTCCCTTGTGTGCACACAGATGCCTGGCTCTTGTTTACACTCATGTACACACACAGTCTTACACACAGCTGCACACTCTTACTCGTAGGCACACATTGCTGATGTGCCCTCTCCCCTCCGAGCCCATGACCTGTTGGTTTTCTCTGTGTTGCAGTCCTCCCGAGAGCTAGATGACAGCAGCAGCGAATCCAGTGTCTTCCAGCTGGAGAGCCCCAGCTCTTTGAGAATTCTGAATGAGAACCTCGCCGATTCCCCAGCAGAAGACAGGCCCCTGGTTTTCTTTGACCTCAAGATTGACAATGAAAGTGGGTTCTCCAGTGGCCACCCTTACCCCTTTCTAGCTTAGTCTGTCAGTTCCCAAGAAACCATTACCACCACAAGTTGCTGTTGAGTTGGTACCAACTATTGGTGACCCATGTGTGAAAGTAAAGTGTGCTCCGTAGGATTTTCAGTGGCTTGTATTTTGGGCCAGGCCTTTCTTCCAAGGCACCTCTGGGTGGACTCAAACCAGCAGCCTTTTGGTTAGCAGCTGGCGCGTTAACCATTTATACCACGTAAGGACTCCATTCCTAAGATAAGTGCAGGCAGAGCGGTGTGTGAAGCTCAGGGGAGCCCTGGCCAGTGTTGGCAGCCAAAGTGGACTTACTTGGGGTCTCTCAGGTGTGCCACTTGGTTGTCTGAGTAATGACTTCTTCCTTGACCAGTGCCTGGAAGTGTAAGGCAGCACTCCTCTTACACAGACAGTCTGAGGAACACCTAAACAGAAACAAAGAGTGTGAACTTGTTGCTATGAGACCAGTAATCCAGCACAGCCTTTGGCCACGACTGCACATTCCTGACTCTAGGCCCATCCCACAGATGGCTCCCGAGGAAGGCCACAGAGCCAAGGCCACAGACACTTAGCCCCTCTGCTCGCCACAGTGCTTGCCCTGGCCTCTCCCGAGCCTAAGCCCTAGCTCGTGGCATGGATTCAACATTGGAGCCCACTCACACCACAAAAGCAGCAGAGTTTTCAAGTCCAATTTGTAGACCTCATGTGCAAGCTTTGGGCTTTTCTTTGAATGGAGTGGACTGGGTGGGTCTGCTGTCTGTGTCCCATGGCTCTGACAGTGCTTGGGCAGGGGCTTTAGTTAAGTGACTTATGGGATTGGAGGCCAGGGGGCAGGGAGTGGAGGGCCTGGTGGAACCAATCAAGGGTCTCTGATGTTGGTGGGTGGAGGCTAATAGGGCCCTGGATCCAAAAGGGTTTGGTGAACTGAGCAGGTAATGGGAGGGTAAAGAGCTGAACCCACAGTAGATGAGCAAGGGGTCTTTGGAGAGCAGCTGGGCCTCCCGCTCTGACCCTCGTCCTCATCAGAGCCAGTGTCAGGGCTGTTTGGAAGCTGTTTGGTTCCTGCCAGCAGGCCCCAAGGTGGGGTCTCTAGATGGTGGGTTGGCTGCCCTAGAGGTCTCTGTTCCCCCACCAGTGTCTCCTGTGCCCCAGGGACCTTACCCTGCCCTTTTCTTCTGCCCAGCCCAGAAGATTAGCCAGCTGGCAGCAGTAAACCAGGAAAGCAAGTTCCGAGTGCTTATCCAACCCGAGGCCACCTTCAGCATCTACTCCAAGGCCGTGTCCTTGGAGGTGGGTCTGCAGCACTTCCTCCGCTACTTGAACTCCATGCACCGCCCCATCCTGGCCTGCTATAAGCTATGGGGGCCTGGCCTCCCTGACTTCTTCCAGGCCCTGGAGAACATGAACAGCCTGTGGGAGTTCCAGGAGGTCATCTCGGGCTTCCTGGCCACGCTGCCCCTGATCCGGGAGCACGTGCCCGGGGCCAGCAGCTTCAAACTCAAGAACCTGACCAAGACCTACCTAGCAAGAAACATGAATGAACGCAGTGCCCTGGCCACTGTGCTTGCCATGCGTGACCTGTGCCACCTCCTTGAGGTCTTCTCAGGCCTCCCACTGGCCCAGCATGTCTACTCCTTCAGCAGCCTGCAATGCTTTGCATCCCTGCAGCCCCTGGTGCACTCAGCCGTCCTGCCCCGGGCTGAAGCTCGTCTTATGGCCCTCCACAATGTGAGCTTCATGGAGCTGCTGGAGACCTACCGCCGAGACCCTCAGTGGGGCTTGAGGAAATACAGCCGCTATCTGAGCCTGCAGGTTGCTCCAGAGTCACCCACCCAGCCTGCTTTCAACCTACAGGCTCTTTGTGCTTACTTTGAAAACCTACTGGCACCCTCCAGCCATAGGTTGGCAGAAAGGGCCTCCAAGCAGAGCTGAGAGGAGGGGGTGAGTGACTTGAAATTTCTGGGGGTGAAGGGATGGGGCCTCGGAGCCAGACTGACTAGTCATAGAAGCCCTACATCCCCCATACTCAGTTGCAGTTCAGTTCAGAACCAGTTCCCCTTCTCTGGGACCAAGTTCTCCTCTAAAAATCCCACAGAAAAGGTTCCAAGGCCAAGAACTTATCCCAGGGTCCTGGGAGAGCCCGTGGGTTCTTTCACAAGACCCTCACCACTCCTCACCCTAAGCCGGGAGCTAGAACTCGGGACATGCTGAGTGAAGAGACCAGGGCTTCTGGGCTCTCTAACTGGCCTCTATCCTGCCTCAGCTACCCTATCTGCCACTTCCATGGGTGTCTCTACAATTCCTCCCTGACCCCCAGCCCACCCAGGGAATCAGCTGACAGCTCCTATGGATATCAGCAGCCCCCCTACCAAGTACCCAAAGTGCCTTTCACACCAAGCTGCCTTCATGAATTTAGGTTCTCCCAGCCCCTGTCTGCCCAGGCTTTCTGTAAGCCTCCCCTTGGAAACATTTTCATCCCAAAGGGGCCTCATATCTGCAGAGACAGAAGCTGCTACTCCCTGCACCCCCTTCCCAGCTACATCAAACCTCAAGATGCAGGACTCCACTTTCAAAGTCTGACCCTTCCTCATGACCATGCAGACTCTGCTTCTCATTCCTGGCCACCAGACTCCTCTCCATGTACTGCCCACACCCCCAGGTCCCCCAAGGAACATCCTTTCACATATGTTATTAAAATTGTAGTTGGGGACTGGCAGCATTAGCATCATTGGAGAGCTTGTTAGAGGTGCAAATTCATGGGTTCTACCTCAGACCTTTTTGAAGATAAATGTGACACCATTCCTCTTAAATTTGTCATTCCCAGCATAGTAGCTCATATAATTGTCTACTCCAGAATGACTAATACTAATGCAGCTACATTTCATTTCATTTTTCACAACTTCCAGTTTTCCTGGATTCATACTTTCTATGTTCCATGTTCCCATTATTAATGGATGTTTGCAGCTGTTTCTTCTCATTTTGAGTCATGCTGCATCAGCAAATGGAGGTCCAAAAGCTTTACTCCATTCACATCAAGGCTGACTTTATTTTTAGGAGGCAGCTCTTTCCCAGTTACATTTTGAGCATCTTCCAATTTGAGGGGCTCATTTTCTGGCACTATGACAGTCTTCCATTGCTATCCATAAGGTTTTCAGTGGCCATTTTTTTTCAGAAGTAAACTGCCACATCCTTCTTCCTAATTTGTCTTAGTCTGGAAGCTCTGCCTAAAACTGTCCACCATGGGTGACCCTGCTGGTATTTGAATACCGGTGACATAGCTTCCATCATCACAGCAACATAGAAGCCACTACAATACAACAAACTGACAGATGAATCAGACAGACTGACAGAAGGTAGGTGGCTTTTGTGATAGAAACTATGCTGGAGATCATATGACAGAATTTTGCAAGACCAATGACCTTATTCATGGCAGATACTTATTTTCAACAACATAAAGTGATTATACATATGGACCTTGCCATATGGAATACACAGGAATTAAATTGACTACATCTATAGAAGGAGATAATGGAGAAGCTCAATATCAGCAAAAACAGAGCCAGGGACTGACTGTAGAACAGATCATCAATTGCTCATATGCAAGTTCAAGTTGAGACTGAAGAATATTAAAACAAGTCCATGAGAACCAAAAATACAACCTTGAATATATCCCACCTGAATTTAGATGCCATCTCAAGAATATATTTGATGCATTGAATACCAGAAACCAAAGACAAGATGAGTTGTGGAATGTCATTGAGCACATTACACATGAAGAAAGCAAAAGGTCATTAAAAAGAAAGGGAAGATGGAAAAGACCAAAATGGATGAAACTCTGAAACTCGCTCTTGAACAGAGAATAGTTAAAGCAAATGGAAGACACAGTGGAGTAAAAGAGCCGAACAGATGTCAAAAGGAACTCAAGAAGACAAAGTGTTATAGTGAAATGCACAAAGACCTAGAAAACCCACTTCTCAAGCTGAAATAACTGAAGAAAAATTTTAAGCCTCAAATTGCAATACTGAAGGCTTCTATGGGCAAACTATTGAATGACACAGGAAACATCAAAAGAAGATGGAAGGAATACACAGTCACTGTACCAAAAACAATTGTTGATATTTGTCCATTTCAGGAGGTAGCATATGATCAAGAACCAGTGGTATTAAAGGAAGAAGTCCAAGTTGCATTGAAGGAATTGGAAAACAAGGTTTCAAGTATTGATGGAATATCCATTGAGATGTTTGAACAAACAGACGCAATGCTGGAAGCACTTACTTGTCTGTACCAAGAAATTTGGAAAGCAGCTACTTGACCAACTGACCTGAAGAGACCCATATCTGCTCATTCCAAAGGTGATCCAACAGAATGTGGAAATTATCGAACAACATCATTAATATCATATGCAAGTAAAATTTTGCTGAAGATAATTCAAAAACAATTGCAGCAGAATATTAACAGGGAACTGTCAGAAATTCAAGCCAGACTCAGAAGAGGACATAGAATGAGGGATATGACTGCTAATGGAAGGTGGATCTTGGCTGAAAGCAAAGAATACCTGGAAGATGTTTACCTGTGTTTTATTGACTGTGCAAAGGCATTTGACTGTGTGGATCATTAATAAGTTATGGATAACATTACGAAGAATGGGATTCCAGAACACTTAATTGTGCTCATAAGGAACTTGTACGTAGACCAAGAGGTAGTTCAAACAGATCGAGGGGATATTGCATGGTTTAAAATCCAGAAAGGTGTGTGTCAGGGTTGTATCTTTTCACCATACTTGTTCAATCTGTATGCTGAGCAAATAATCCTAGAAGCTGGACTATATGAAGAAGAAAATAGCATCATCAAGTCATTAACAACCTGTGATGTTCAGATAGCACAACTTTGCTTGCTGAAAGCAAAGAAAACTTGAAGCACTTACTGATGAAGATCAAGACTACATCCTTCAGTATGGATTGTACCTCAAAATAAAGAAAACAAAAATCCTCACAACTGGACCAGTAAGCAACATCATGATAAATGGAGAAAAGATTGAAGTTGTCAAGGATTTCATTTTACTTGGATCAACAATCAGCACCCATGGAAGCAGCGGTCAGGAAATCAGACAGTGTTTTGCACTGGGCAACTCTGCTGCAAAAGACCTCTTCAAAGTATTAAAGAGCAAAGATGTCACTTTGAAGACTAAGGTATGCCTGACCCAAGCCATGGCATTTTCAGTCACCTCATATGTATGTGAAAGCTGGACAATGAATAAGGAAGACCAAAGAAGAACTGATGCATTTGAATCGTGGTAGTAAAAAATATTGAATATACTATGGACTACCAAAAGAATGGACAAATCTGTCTTGGGAGCACTGGCTTTACCAGTGAACTCCTACTTACCAGTTGCCATCAAGTTGACTCCAATTCATGGCAACTCCCTGTGTCCCTGCATGGTGCAAACAGTTAATTTGCTTGGCTGCCAACTGAAAGGTTATATAGGTGTGAGCCCACCCAGACACATCTTGGAAGAAAGGCCTGGTGATCTGTGTCTGAGAAACCAGCCTCTGAAAATCCTACAGAGCGTAGTTCTACTCTAACACACATGGGGTCATCTTGAGAACAGTGATCTCAGAAGCCTGCAAAATAGGATTCAGATGCTGGACTTTTAGGGCAGATGCTAAGTCTCACGTTCCCTTGGGGAGCAGGCTAATGGGTAGATGGTGGCTGGGACCACAGTCTGACTATAATGACCATCTTAACAACTGATAAGGCAGCCCTTGGGCCACTCTCCACATCCTCCTCACGTCTCAGCTTAGCCCTGGACCAAGTAGCACCCACCGACTTCCCAGCTCTAATCACAACCCCAATGCTTGATATTTTCAAATGCAGCTAATCACAGTTTCTGTAAGAGAGTGGTTTTGCCCTGTCTCCACTGTCACAGCCTTTAATAAAGCATCTTAAAAACCTGATGCTCCAGTCCAAACGCTGCTTGGCCCACCCTAGAGGAGCCAGAGAGAAACCTCTTGCCTGGTGAGACCACTTGCCCTGTACAGCAGTTCCTTGTGGAGGTCTTTTGAGACTTGGCAAAGCTGAAGGCCTCGAGGATGTGGATCGATCCCCCATGGTAAACAGGGAGACCAAGGTGGGCCTGCTTCAGAATCATCTCTAGAACAGAGGTAGCACCAACTTCTAGAGCAAGGGGCAGGGTCTGAAGGAACTTTAACCACTGCCCTGCTGGGTACTTACATATCCCTCTCTGTTTCAGGGTGACAGAAGGTAACCTCTTTAAAAAAGGGGAAGAGGCTGGGAACATTAGCAATGTGTAGTTAATGTGCTGCTGTCTTGGATGTGACAGATACCAGTGGTGTGTCTGACACAGATGAGACTTACATGAGTACCCAGCCTGGGTGAGCAGCCTACTGATATGATTTGATCAGTGTCCCCATCTTTCACCCTACCTGTATGTCCCAGATGCCCAAACTCCAGTCCTAGCATTTTAGTCTCTCACCTTGGTCCTTGGTCCTTGGTCCTTTGCCCAGAAAGTTCAAGTCTGAATATGTCACCCATGCTTCATTTTTTGAACTATATCTCAGATTTACTGTCAGAATGCTAAATTTCAGCCCCCACTTAGTACCATGACCCTGATCATGCATTAGCCTATCTCATCCTCAGGCTTCCCCTCTATAGAACAGGATAATGTGGGTTGTTTTTACCTTGCAGGATCTTTGTGTGAACCAATAAGAAAATGTTTGTGAAAATATCTTTTTAATATATGGAGGGGCACACAAATATAAGAGCTTATTTCATAGACAACCAAGAGGATCATGTTAATTGCTTATAAATTCTAGAAAAATAAATATATTAGATCTTAGGGAAAAAAAGTACATGGGATTATCTTTAGGGGAATAAAGAACAATGTCTGAGAAGCTGGGAGAAACCCCTGGACA